CCTTGGAGGACAGCAGCACCAACACACAGGGGTGGATGCATTTCCATATCAACAACAAATCAATAAAACCTACACCCAGACCTCTCCAGATACCTGAAAGGCAGAAGAAGACTACTCGCTCTGGGTATCAAGTCCTTGGAGGATGCTCCTCAGTTCCTTCTGTGGTCAAGTGCAGAGGAAGGAGCAGGTGAAAAAGAGAATTGCTTTAATTGAGGTGATTTCCATTTCTGTCCACATTTCTATACCTTCAGCATTGTTTATACATATTAATTTGTTTAATCCTCTTAATAACTTTTTGAACTAGGTAATCACCACACACAGATGGTGAAACTGAGATCCAGTGGGATGGACTAATTTGCTTACATTTCTRTGACCAGGGGCTGGAAGAACCAGGATTTGAACAGGAGCAGCCTGGTTCCTTGCATTCCCACCTGTTATATCACTGTATGGTTCCCCAGGATCAGAACCCCACTTCCTTCAGAGGTAATGACTGTGCAGTGATGTCCTGTGCTTTGAGTCAGCCTATCCTGGGGTTGGTGCCATAACTTGTCAGTTTGCTGCAAACCTCTCTACCAAAAACTGTGGTCAAACCCTGTTTCCCTTCCTGTTCGATGGTATAGCGCTTGCTGCCAGGGCCACCAGCACTCTGCCCTCCAACAGAGTGACCTTGATTCAGAGGGGACTGATCACTTTGTGAATGTCTGTTCAGCCCCCCGCCCCAGGGTAGCCAACCCTCACCCACCCTTGTAGCCAGGGCTGTGTGCCTCTGTGGTGAAGAGCGGAGAGGGGCCACTGTGGCCAGCAGAGGACCATGGCTTGGGTGGCATACAGCTGCAGAGCAGCCCTCTGAGCTCTTACTGCTGGGGCCATTAATACTGCGCTACCTTTTCTAGGTCCAGTCATTACCCTCGAAGCAAAGTCTAATGCACACTTACCCTCTTTTCTGCTTTTTTTTTTTTTAAAGAGAAAAAAATTCCAATCATCATCATTTTTCTGTGCAAGGTCTTTAAAGAGCAAATAGAAAGACATTCAGAGCCCAATATATATTTTCCTTCTCTAAGTGATGTTTATTTAAATGCAGATATCCTGGTTTCCCATGTAGAGTTGCAAGCAATACCTTTCAATTTAAATGTTAATAGGAGTGTAAACTTCAAAATCAAAATTTTTCCACAAGGGAGAAGTGCTTTTTCTGGCTCTGTTTAATGGTTCTCCTTGCCATTCCTCCTCCACCCTCCCTCATTAGCAACCTTCCTCTGCCCACTCCTTTCCGCCGTGCTGAACCAAATTCAAAAGAGTTTAGAATGCACCTTTCTCATTTCAAAAATTAGAATGTTAAATATTAGGGTCATGGAATACAGATAATGGACTCAAACCCAACACAACTGGTGAGAAGATTTTTTCATCTAGGCCTTTGCCTGCAGAGTCAAACTTAACGTACAAGACTCTTTCCAATGAGATTACTTAGGCCAGCCCCAGGAAATATTTTTCCAAATCTTCAGAGTTAGGTTAATTAGGGTTTTCTACCTCTCCTTTTCTTTTTCTTTCCTTTTTATTTTTTCTCTSTCTTTTTCCCAGAATGGCAGGAAGGGATGGGGGAGAGAAATACAAGCTATGTACTGTGTTGGGCACAGTGAGAAATCACAGAGAATTAAATGGCCATTTCTACTCCTCAAGAGAGAAGATTGACAGTAGGTCAAGGCAGATGGGTCACATTGGTGCCATCTGCATGTGGCCATCCACAGACAGAGTGGCAGCTGGGACTCACTCGAATTCGAACTAAAAGCAACAGATTTTAAAACAATGGAAATAATGTACAAATGCCTCCAAGTTCAAATATGAGGTATAATACCTTCCTACGAGCTGATGGACCAAGTTTTGTGTGTGAATGTATTATCTGGCTTCATCTTCCTTTTCTGCATTTCCTCATTTTCCTGCCATTTTTCAGCAGTTTGTAAGCCTCCTTAAGTCTTTTGGAGCATGATAGGACCATTAATACGTGAGTTAGAATTGAATTTATAATATAAACTTCATAGATTTTGATTCCATTATTTTATTTCAAGGTATTGTTTTTGTTCTCCAGCTTGTCCTTTTTAATAGCATTCTGTTTTTATTTCATGGAGGCAATATCTTTCTGCTGTCGTCTCTCTGGGGATGTTAATAATAATTTTGAATGATGTTTTTATTCTCCCTGCAGAGTTTCCCACGTTGTTTCCCCCCCAACTTGTAGGCTGTTCTCAGATATCTGGAGATAATTGGTTGTGTGCTCGTGTTTAAAAGCGGGGTACTAAAGAGCTGCGTAGGAGCTCTGAGCCGGCTGGGGAATCCCGAGACAACTTAGGGCTTCATTTTGAGTGGTCTGAGGGACCATGCATGGGGCAAGCATCACTCCCAATCTCTGGGAGAGGGCAAAGGCCTGGGAGCCAAGGTGGAGGAGTTGGACTCTCAATGGTGAGGTTCAATGTCAAGTATACACATAGTCAAACACCCCCTGAGGGTCTGGTTGTGAATTTCTTGTCCAATACCTTGACCCCTAACTGTGCTGGTTCACTCTCACCTGAGCATATTGACCCCATTCCTAGGTACTCTGTTTTATGTCCCTGGGGGTGGGGGCACAGAGGTGTCCCTCAGTGGTGTGGAAAGTGGGTCAGGAATCTAGGAATCTAATTTCTTTTCCAATAAACTCCACCAAATCCTTGTTTGCTCTCCCTTCCCTGTGCTTGACTTCATGATCCCAAGAGACCTTCGTGAACCTTTGGGGACTCTGCAGGTGGGTTTTCAGCTCCTTGATGTTGGCTTTAGATTTGGCCCTTCCACTAAGTAGTTATGGAGTCTGTCAATTCCAGAGCTTCAATGTTCTTGTGGTGGTCACAATTTCTTTCTGAATGTTTTCCCCAACCTTGGAATTTCTGTTTTTTTTTTTTTTAAACAATCCTCTTAAAATGGTTTGGGAGGAAAAACTGGTAGATAACATTGAATCAATGTGTTATTGTAACCAAGCAGGTCTTTAATTCCATTTTTTATTTTATTTTCTCATCACTTAATAATATGGTTGTTAATTCTTCTTGTCGTTCACTGCTTTTGAGACTGTCAATAAATCATCTAACATCTTTGGATCTTTCCTTCCTCATCTGTAAAATAGGAACATTTCTTGTCCTACCTACTTTATGAGGTAGTGCCGCAGCTTGCCTGAGTCACTCTGTAGGTCTGAGGACAAAATAGCCAGCTGTTGGAGCACAGCTCAGGCAAACTCATTGTAATCGAAGGATGCTCCAACAAAGCTTCACATGACTCATTTGGTGACAGGAGCAATCCGTATGGTGCTGCATGGTAATTTGGCATCCTTGGCAATTCCCAGAGGTGACAGTAACAAGTATTACTTCTATGTGGCTGGGACAGGCATGCAGGTCAGCCCTGGAAGGTAAAGGAGTCTCTGTCCCCAACACACATCTCCCTCCTAGCCAGCTTCCCCCCTGGGCTGGGGGTCCACAGTGTCTGATCTTCCATGTCAGGAAGAAAAGACCAGATCTCGGGCAGACAGAGGAGCCTCAAGCTAAACTCTGCCGGGGATCTTTTTGTTTGCTCTGGGTTCTCCAGARTGGCTGGAGAGGGGGAGGAGGGGAGGGTGGGCTTCCTCATCTCCCTCAAGAGGTAGGCAGACCCCAAGGGATTCCCTGCAGAAATCCTCAGGGCACTGGTTTCTCAGGAATGGGAAGAGATGGGTGTGCTGGAGGTGTGTGGTCCCATCAGGTGGTGGTGACATCATTTGCTTCTGCTGTCTTCCCCTCCCTGCTCACACATCACCCTTTCATTGTTGGTGGGTGGTGACTTGTGCCCTGGGGCAGAGGTGGATAAAATGGCTTTGCTCTGCTTTGGAGCCTCAWGGGGCAGGCTGGGGCTGGTGCCTGAGCTCCCGTGTAGGCAGGTGAGAAGGAGCTGTGGGTGGGTGTTGGGTGGAAGGAAYGGCCAGCAAGGCAGGGGTGGGGTGCTTCCCAGGAGGGAGTAAGAATCCTGTTCTAGGGACGGAGTGGGAAGAGTGGGAAGTGTGCTGGGGAGCAGGCCCATSGAGAGGGAACGTGGCAATGGCTGTGGTCAGCTCTGCAGACTGGAGGGCAGAGCCAGGGAGGACGCCCAGCTGAGCAAGGTGCTGAGTGACCAGCTCTGCTATGGCAGAAGCTCTGCCCTCTCCCTCCTGCTGAGAATGCTGTCTTTCCATCTGTGTCTCTGGACTGCGTCTGATGGGTCAGGGAGGCCTGGAACAGGGAAGGTCCTGACCCTGAACACAGAGCTGACCTGAGGGTGGAGGGGTGGAGGAACTGAGAAAGGGGACTGCTCCAGGGGCCCAGACAGAGGGCAGGCAGTGTGGCTCTGGCTCTGCAGCCAGACCAAGCCATGGAGCCAGTTTGGAAGGGAAGGAAGCCCCTAAATCAGCAGCTTCTCCTCCCAGCAGCCTCTCAGAGAGACCAGCAGACCCTGGCAAGAAGGGAGGCAGGCCTTGGCAGAGGCAACCCGACTGCCAAGGCCCTGCTCAGCTCCAATAGCCCATCTCCTGGATTCTTACCTCTCTGAGAGGCTGACAAATACTGGGTTGGCCACATGGGTCTGAGTTTGAGTCCCTGTTCTGTCAGTAGTTACTACCTGCATGCATTTTAGCAAGTTGTTCCTGTACAGAGAGGGATTAAGTCAGCACTTGTCTCTGAAAGTTGAGATAGATGCACGGGGAGGGCAGCACTGGCCTGGCACAAACGAGATGTCCAAGCAATGACAACTGTATTATGATGAGCTCTCCCTGTGCCTAGCATGTTTGTGCACAGATCAGAGTTACCATCGGGGGAGTCTCTCCTCTGCCAAGGATGCTGGGTTACACAAACCTGTCTGAGAAGAGCAGGTTGCCTCCTTCCTGTCCCGGCCGTGCCTACTCTCCTTCCTACCCCAGGGCTAGGGTGCCCCTGACTCTGAGTCCCAGGCTTTGATGCTGACTGCTGCCTTCCTGTTCCCCACAGACCTGCGCAGAATGACGGCCGGCTTCATGGGCATGGCGGTGGCCATCATCCTCTTTGGCTGGATCATCGGTGTGCTGGGCTGCTGCTGGGACCGAGGCCTTATGCAGTATGTGGCAGGGCTTCTCTTCCTCATGGGAGGTAAGGCCACAGGGGTGGGGATGTGGTAGGGACAAAAAAAGGACCTGGTTCCTGGAGTTCTGGGAGAATGTGAGAGGCATGGAGGACAGCCATGACTTGGCAGAGCTCTTCTACCTCACCCCTCCCATGGCTCAGCAGATGTTCCCTGAGTTCCTCCCTCCCACTTGCCACTGAGCCAGCTGTCGGGGATGCAGAAGCAAAGAAGACACGGTCCCCCACCCTGTGGGGAAGGGGTCTGCCTGCTATGGAAGAGACACACTCTGGTATGAGACTTGTGTTATGGCAGATAGAGATCTGGGACCTGGAAGAAGCATGAACCTAGAAGGTGCCTGGGCATCTTAGACACCTGGGCCTTGGGCTTCAGTGTGGATGAAGGAAGTGGGTGCACTCTGGGCAGCTACCTTCCTCTCCAAGTGCCTATGTTCATCCTTGACTTATGGTCTTAATTTCCCCCATTTACAATGAGGTGGTGTGGAACAGGGCTGCACACTCTCTTGCCTCTGTCCCCCTTTCTCTATTATTACCACAACCGTGGAGCCAACCATCATTCCCTAAAGGGAGCTGTGTGTCAGGAAGACTGCATAGCCATATAGGAATAGGTATCCTGTCTGTGAGCAGTAAAAGTTCATCCAGTGTCTACTTGTGCCTCTTGCTTCTCTGAGAAGCTAGAATGTGCTTTTTGGTCTCCTGGTTTGAGTCTCATCCAGTGCTACAGTTTGGGATGCTCAGAGAAAGGTAGTGGATGAATTGTGTGGACTTTGGTAGAGGGGAAATGGGCTTAGAGAGAATTAGAATTGTTTGTGAAAAGAAGGGAAGATGAGTTTTACACAAGATAACAGTTGTCAGCTAGGCTGCAGTATCCACACGAATAAATGCCCAGCTCAGGTCTCTTTTGTGAACAGCCAGGTTCTGGGTTTCTGAGCAGAGGTGGGAGGAGGAGAAATGGACCATGCTAGTTCTTTATCCGCAGGTCGAGCTGGGAAAGGGAACTTGTCCTCTCGGTACACAGAGATCTCTGGAGCCTACTGAGCTCTGCTTTGKGGGGAGGAGGAGAACATTATAGGATCAGCTTGAGCCTGAAAGTCCCCTGTTCCCTTGAAGCACATGCATTCTGTGCCAAAGGAAAGAGGAGGTTCTCCAAGGAGAAATTCAACTTTTACATGGACCTCCAAATGTCAAAAGATGAAAGTGGAGTGGCTCTGTTTGTAGTGATGCCTCTCTCTGAGTCTTCTTTGGATATATAAAGACAGCTCCAGTAAAAACAGGGCTTTCCTGAGGGTCTAGAGAGGGCTCCCAGGAATCCAAGAAAAGCTGAGCAAATAGGCCTCAGGCAGAGCAGGAATCCCCAGGGGTGGCTCTCTCTCATCTCCTCCTCTTTGGCTCCTGGGCAAGTTCTCCACTGTCCTCTTCCCTTCAGGTAGGCACAAGGTACAGAGCTTGCCTAGGTGCTAAGCCTGGGGCCTTTCCGTTCTTGGAGAACTTCTTTCTGGGCAGCTTCAGTGAGCTTGCAACCACAGCCAGGTGCAACTGGCTAGCTTGTCCTTTCTGACCAGGCCACACATTGCACATCAGACAATAAGCAGGTCAGAACTGGGTGACCCTGGATGGACTAAAAGCTGTGACTCCGGTGAGGTCACTGGGACACCTCCCAAAGGGCTGAGGAGAAAAAGAGTGGGAAGCTTCCATCCACTGCTGAGGCACTTCCCAGAAGCCTGGGGCTCTGGCCAAACAGTCTGAAAGCCCTGGCTAAACTTGATTCTGAGTCTGCAGCCCTTCCCTGCAGGCTGCAGAATGAGAGCCCTGCTTCCTGCTTGCCCCGAGTGGTGSTCACCTGCTGCATGTCAGAGCTGCCTGAAGAGTTTTCTCAAAACACTGATACTGGGTCCCAAGCAGAGCTTCTGGTGGTCTGCCTGTGCACACAGAGCCAGGGATGGGTGGAACAAGTGAACCTTAGAGTACTTTCTAGCTCCAATATGGTATGGTACTAGGGACAACTGGTTGGCCAAGGCCTCTCATGATATATATATATATATATATATATATATATATATATATATATTATATTTTTGATATATATATATATATATGTTACATGTGATGTGTATGTGTGTGTGTTTATATATATATATATATATATATATTTTTTTTTTTTTTTTCTCTAGCCTTCCATGATTGTTCCTCCAAGCCTCATGCAACAAAAGATATGGTGGTACTAATGGGCCTGTTATTGCTGGAAAGGCCATCCAAGCCCTGATTATGGGGGGGGTGGGGGGCAGGTCAGTCAGCTTTTGTTGGACTTGCCCTGTATTTTTTAATGATGAAACCATACTTTCTGATAGTGTCAGTGTGACAATGAGCTTTCAGGATTTGCTGTTACAGCTCTTTCTTGATAATTGGAGGCCATCCAGGCCAGAGTGAATCCATCTGACCCAAAGGCTGCCTAGGCTTCTCCTTCACCCTAGAGCTTTGTCATCCGTGACCCTAGGTAAAGCAGTGTCTTCCTGCAAGTGGCCAGGAGGGAAGTGGTGTCCACATGCTCATGGATACCATCAGGTCAGGCAGTAACAGAAGGGGCTAGAGAACAGAGCCATTAGCTGCTGACCCCTTGAATGATGGTCTTCTTCAGAAGATGAAGCTGAGGAGGTGGGGTGAAGGCACTCTCATTCTTCTCAAATTAGAGTCCTTTCCAATTGGGGTAGACACAGACCTGGGAGTCCAGATGCCCAGGGCAGATGCCATCTGCTGACCCATGAGCTTGGCTTAGTTGGGAACTAGGGAGGAAACAGACCCAGGCAGAAAGGTGGTGCCTCCGGGCCCCTGATCAGCTGTGAGAGCTAATCTGAGAGGCTGGACGCCATCCCAGAAGTGTGGCCTGGAACCACAGAACCCCATATGTCAGAGACATGTCAGCACCAACCCTCTGAGCACCTCTAGGGGTTAATCTCCCATTGTCAACCTGCTGAAGAACCTGAACAGCAAGCCACCCTCTACAGCTACCTCCCAGACACAGCAAAACATCAGTCACCAAACTGCAGGTGTTTCCCACAGAGTGAAACAAAAAGGCCCCACGGCCTAAGCTTTCACCCAGGTTGGGGTTTTACAGTCTGCAGCTGAACACAGACAGGTGGCCAAGGGCTCAGATCGGGCTGCAAGTGGGATGCTCAGGTGGGGACTACCTGCAGCAGCTTCTGGAGCTGGCCGGGCATGGGTGTGGCCAGCAGGAGGAAAGGAAGCAGCAGCAAGACTGAGAAAAGGACATTTGGAGTGAAGAATCACAGATGGAATTGCAGGTGACTTTAGGTGAAGCTGCCAGAGCCGAAATAAACACGGAAGCATCTATTCACAGCCCCATCTCCTTTCCAGAGGAAGCTGGGCCGCCTGCATGGGGCACTTCTCYGGTCAAGGTTTCACTGTTTCTGGGTTAAAGAGAGGGCACCTGGCATCCCGTGAAATAACTAGCAACAAATTGTTTAATTAATGCTCAACCCAGAGGAGGTAATTAATTAAGCAGGGTAGCTTCGTCAAGCCTGGAGGCTGGGGGTGGCCGGTGGGATCCAGTTTCCCTTTTGGCAGAGCCTCCAGGGAGGATCTAGCCCAGACTGGCACAGCACCATTTGGGTGGCAGCAACTGTCCTGATGATTCATCAGTGATATGCAGAAGCTCAGGAACAGGATGACACAGGGAAAGATTGCAAGCTGAGGAGGCATGTGACGGCTCTGGTCACTTGTGATTCCCTTGCTGGTGTAGCTGTGGACTCAGGTCTGCGTGTCTGGACAGCCAAGCCATGCTCCGTCCTAGCAAGGGCCCTCCACACCCCTCCTGCTGGAAGCATTCCATCCGTTCTCTAGGCTAATGCTGGAGCCTCTACCTGTCTGCTCGAACTCCACTCTGGGATCAGTCCTGCACAGAGAAGTTAGCATCACTTAAAAAAAAAGAAAAACAACAATAAATCAAATACCCTTCTCTTCTGCTGTCAATAGTCCAATGGCTTCCAGTTGAACTTAAAAACCCAAATTCCTTACCCTTCTTTAAGGGCCCTTTATAATCTGGCTGATTCTGCCTCTCGGACCTCTTTTCCTGTTTCTTCCCCTACACTCATGCCCCTGCAGCCACACGGACTGCCTTTCTATTCTGGAACACACACTTTTACCTCAAGGCCCTGTAGCTGGCTGATGCCTTTTTCCGCAGAGCTTCCCCCATAATACCTCATGAATGGCTCCTCCCCCTGATTCAGATTCCACCTGGAAGGTTCCCCCTCAGAGACAGCTCCCTTGACCTCCCATGAAGACACTGAGGGACGCTCTACATTTTAATTACTAAAATTTTCTGCAGCACATTCATTCATTCTAAAATGCTTGTTATTATATTTTGATTTTGGTTATTTTTATTTGGGCAGCTTAAAACTATAAATGCTTCTATGTCGAAAGTTGTGTGGATCCGAATTCCATGCCTGGCTTAACCRGGTTTTCTGTTGAGGATCTCACAGAAAGAACTAGGATCAGAGTTGAAGCTGGGGCTGGGCCTCACCTGAGGTTTGAGGTCCTCAGCCAAGGCTATTATGTCAGGGGGAGAATTCATTTCCCTGCCGCTGTGGAGCTCGTGAAAGTTTGTTTATCCAAGACCGGCAAGAGAGGGAGTCTCCTACTTCTGTCTCTAACCTCTGCACCCTCTTTAATTAGAGACCCTTAATTTTCAGAACAATTTTAAATTTAAAGAAAAAAGTGAGCGGATAGTCTAAGGAGTTAAGATTTTACCCCTACCCTTGTGTCCAATGTCTCCTTTATAAACAGGTTACATTAACGTGACACATCTGTTATGATTAATGAATAAATACTGGCATACTATTATTAATTGAAATCCACAGTTTACTCATAGTCCCTTATTCTTACCTGATGTCCTTCTCTGTCCCAGGCTTCCATCCACTCTGCATTTAATTCTCAAGTCTCTCTAGGCTGCTCTTGGCTGTGGCAGTTCCTCAGACCTTCCTTGTTTCCGATGA